CTTTTAAGGAAGGGAAACTTCCCCGCTCTTTTAAAATTAAGGCCCCTAGTCCTCTAGGTTTTATGGCTGGCTTTGGAGAAAGGAGGTTCTGGTTTCTATGACCTGCCTTGGGGAAAAGGGATTCTTGTTTCTAGGCTGGATAGGATAGAAGGATAGGAAAAGGCCAAAGAAAACCTTTTGCTTCTGAGGCCTTCATCATGGAGTATGGCTTTCTGAGTTTCAGCATGCAGTAGGGATGGGTAATCAATTCAGGACCACAGGAAAAGATGTCTTTAGGGAGGTAGGGAAAAGAGATATAAAAGCTTAAAACCACTTATTTTAACTAAACACATGAAGTTATATCAAAGAAGCATAAAGATATTTAAAATTGTACTTTAATTTCACATTTTGTCTGGTTGAAAGTAGGGGGATAAAAACGAAGAAAATAAAACTCAGATGAGGAAGGAAAAAAGAAAGAAAAAGAGGGAGTGAGGATAGAGGCTTCTTACCTTCAGTTCAGAAGTTGAGTTTCAAGGAAGATTTTGAGTTTTAGGTAAATTAATGCCCCACTTGGACAGTTTTTCAGGGCATCATCTATCACCACTCTTTGAAATAGCAATTGATTAGCCATTCATCCTAGCTTTTTAGCATGGTAGAGGCCTCTGACCATTACCCAATGGGATATCCACAGCCACACCTAGAGGATATCCTTCCCAGGCTGCAGAAGCAGACAACAATTCTACCTTATGATGTGACCTTCCAAGGCCAGATAGAGAAGCTTAAGTAAAGAAGGGAACAATGGAAAGTATAACAGCAAACTGCTTATGATTTCCTTATTGAAGTCCTTTATCTTCATGCAGATACAATAAGAATACAATATTGGTCACTTACCAGCTCTGAGCTTCAACACTTCATACCTGGCCAGTCCATTCCCTTCCTTCCTCCCTCAACAGAGTTTAACTGAAGGGCATAATCAAGTTTTCTTAATTCTTTAGCTTCCTTCTGGTTACACTTGACTCCCCATTCAGCCCCAGGACCATGTTTGTTACATGGTTAGCTACTTTAACATTGCCGTCATTAACACCCTAACCTTCTACCAATCCAAAGATTAGTACTCAGAGCTGCAGTATGAACATCCCCAGGTGGTTGTTAGAAGTGCAGAATCAGGGCCTCTGAATCAGAATCTGCACATTAGCAAGATCTCCTGGTGATCCTCATATGCACATTAAAGTTTTAGAGGCATGGGCTGGCCTCCCCCAGCTCACCCTTTTCCATTAAAAAGTGCCACCACTCTGCCAAAACCTATGCATAAATCACCGGAGACTCAGGGCTCCTTCACAATCTTCTTACTCATTTTTTATTTCCTAGTACTTTGAGAATAGCTCCTCAAACCCCCTTTCCACCTGCCATCCTCTTATTCCCATTTTTTCCTCCTTCCATTCCTATTTTCTTCCTAACTTGACAGAAGTCAGATGACTTTGCTGTGCTAATATATTTTTTTCCTTCTCTGCCTCAACATATTTCTGGTCTTCTGCCACCCTCCATTATTTTCTCAAGTCTCAGATGGAGTAGCATCTTCCTCATTTGTAAGCTAGCCTCTCTACCTGTGCCCTCGATACATTTTCCCTTCCCCCTTCTCTGGGATCTTCTCTTACTGATCTCCCCTCTCCCAGAATCATGTCCATCATCTCCATTAAGCCCTTCCCATTTGCATCCAAAGGGACGCAGATCTTATTTTGAGAAAACCACAACATACACACACATCCAGTCATATTCACTTGATCCTACTCCTTTCTGTTTGTGATCTATTTCTCCTTATTCACCATCAGATTTCACATACAAATGGTCTAGAGCAGTGGTTTCCAACCTGGATGACTTTGCCATTGAGGGGACATTTAGCAGTGTCTGGAGACATTTTTGGTTGCTGCAACTGTGGGAAATGCTACTGGCAACTAGTGGGTAGGGGCCATAATGCTATTAAATATCCTACAATGCACAGGGCAGCCTCCCACCACAAAATTATCTGGCTAGGGTGGCTACCTATCCCAGTTTGCAGTAACTTTCCTGGCTATAGGCTTATAGCACTGAATATCCTGTGTTCCAGGAAACACCTCAGTCCTGGCCATACTGGGACCATTGGTCATCATATATATATCTCGCCCCAAATGTCAAAAGTGCCAAAGTTGAGAAACGCTGCTCTACAAGGAACACCCATTAACTTTACATTTTTCTCACGAACTTCCTTTTCTTCAATTGGAACTTTTAATTTCTGTCTTCTTTTCTACGGAAATAGGTTTCTTTCTTTTTTGAGACAGGGTCTCACTCTCAGAGAGGCTGGAGTGCAAAGGTGCAGTCACAGCTCTTTTCAGCCTCTAACTCCTGGGCTCAAGTAATCCTCCCACCTTAGCCCCCTAGCAGCTAGAACAGGCACATCACCACCCTGACTAATTTTTTAAATGTTTGTCTTTGTAGAGATGGGATCTCACTATGTTGTTCAGGCCAGTCTCTAATTCCTGGCCTCAAGTGATCTCCCCAAAGTGTTGAGATTACAGGTGTGAGCAACCATGCCCAGGATGAAATTGTTTTCTTTTTTTTT